GGACTGAGGAGTGAGGAGTCGGAGCTCGGAAGTCGGAAATTGCCAAATGCCTAAATCGCCGCTCAAGACTATACTGTACTCTCTCTAAGTCTAAATTGATAAATGGCTACTAATGCCCTAAGACCTAAGTCCCTCCTTAACCAGCTAAGCAAGCTAACCCTTAGATATTAGAGTTTAGAGTGGGCTAGGGCTGGGAATTAAATAAAGAAGGGTGTGGGCTTGGGCGTTGGGGCTGGGGCGATGGGCAGTGGGCTGGGTTATTAAGAAAATGTATTTTAAAAATCGGTATTTCGGTATACCGAAATTTCAAAATTTTAATACCGAGGACCGTGCCGAAATACCGAAATTGCAATACCGAATTAGATCGAAATACCGAAAAAATCCGAAACCGAAATAACGAATTAATTCGATTCGGTTCGGAATTCGGTTTTTCGGATTTTATGCCCGCCCCTAAGGTAAACATCTTATTTTAGTGGAAAAGATCATTTTCTTTAGGACGAAATACAAAGGAAGTTAGTGAATGCCGATTGAGGGAGTTTTTGGATTTTCATTATCAATTTTAATACCGAGGAAGTTAGTGTATCATTGTCAATTTTTTAATCAATAATAGATTTTTCTCCCGTGCATTCTCACATGGTATCAAAGCTTCAGTGAGAAAATTATCGTTGTGCGTCATTCCAGCGACTTCCGGGAAGAAAGACTTCGTCGCCGTGCAATTTTCCGGCGACTTAAGAGGCTATCCGTAACAAAATCACTTTCCGTTGGTGTTGTGCAAAAACCAACACAACCACAGGGTTCCCAAGGCTTAGGCAACAAAATCCCACCAAAGATCTCCGGCAACCGACCTTTCACGCGCGGATCGGAAATCTGTTTTTCTGGCGAGTTTTTCCCCACGCGCCGGCGCGTGTGGCCTTTTCCCGGCCAGATTTCAAATTTTTTCCTTCAGACAGCCTGTTCGTGTGGCCTTTCCGAGCCTACCCATCAAGTTTAAATCAGATTCGGACGACTTTTTTATTTTCCGGCGAGCTACAGTGTTTCCGATAAACAGTAACAGTGAACAATGATTTCCAAACAATTTTCTGACCTTTTCCGGCGTGAACATTATAAAGTCATTCTTATTAGAAGCCTTAGAATCACAAGTCGTTGGATCGAATGCATTAAACCCAATCCAGATGGTTTCTTTACCGGATTATATTGAGTTTCTTCAGTAGAAAGCACGTAAACAAATATCTTCAGGATTAGCCTCCGTTGTTCCAACAAATAGTAGCATGACTTGTGTCTCCCAATCTTCACCTTTTGAGTCTTGGGTCATTGATTCAGGTGCATCTGATCATATTTCTGGTAACAAATCTCTTTTCACTAGTATCTCATATTCTCAATCTCTTTCAACAGTCATAATGACCAATGGGTCTCAAGCCATGGCAACTGCAATAGGTCAAGCAAGTCCATTTCCTTCCTTACCTTTAGACTCAGTTCTTTATGTTCCTGGTAGTCCTTTTAATCTCATAGCCGTTAGTCGCTTAGCCAAATCACTTAAATATGTTGTTTTATTCCTTGATGACCTTGTTTTTATACAGGAACGCAGTACAGGGCGAATCATTGGTCCCGGGCGTGAATCAGATGGACTTTATTACCTTATCCTTGCAAAATCACATGGACTCGCATCTTGTCTTCCTCCAATAACTTGTCCCGTTACTGATTCACTAGATTTATTACATAAACGGTTAGGACATCCCAGTTTGTCAAAACTTCAGAAAATGGTACCTGACTTATCTCACTTGTCCACTTTAGAGTGTGAGTCGTGTCAGCTCGGTAAGCATACCCGCTCCCATTTCCCGCGGCGTCTTGATAATCGAGCAGAGTCACCTTTTACTTTAGTCCATTCAGATGTTTGGGGTCCTAGTTGGGTTAGTTCTACCTTAGGATTCCACTACTTTGTCAGTTTCATTGATGATTATTCCAAGTGCACTTGGATATTTTTGATAAAAAATCGATCTGAGTTTTCTATTTTCCAGACCTTCCACGCTGAAATTCAAAATCAATTTGGGGTTTCTATCCGCACATTTCGTAGTGATAATGCCCTAGAGTATTTGTCTTCCCCATTTTTTTATTAACTCCCATGAGATTATTCATCAAACATCTTGTCCGTACACATCCGTACAAAATGGGGTAGCTGAAAGAAAGAATAGACATCTTATTGAAACTGCTCGTACCCTACTCATACAATCTCATGTTCCGCTGCGTTTTTGGGGGGATGAAGTTCTTACATCTTGTTATCTTATTAATCGTATGCCATCTTCAGCTATCCAAAATCAAGTTCCTTTCTCTGTCCTGTTTCCCCACTTACCTTTGTTCTCTCTTCCACCCTGTGTCTTTGGGAGTTACTCGTGCTTTGTTCATGACCTTACTCCAGGAAAAGATAAGTTAGCTCCTCGTGCTCTTAAGTGCATATTTCTGGGTTACTCGATAACGCAAAAGGGATATCGATGTTATTCTCCTGAGCTTCAGCGATTTCTTATGTCTGCTGATGTTACCTTCTTTGAAACCCAATCATACTTCACAGGTCCAGTTAATCACTTAGATATTTCTGAGGTGCTACCCGTTCCTTCTTTTGGAGATTCAGTTCCTATCTCCCATTCATATTACTCTATAGCTCCACCGCCTATAGTTCCAGTTGAAGTTCCACCACCTATAGCTCCAGTGCCACCACCTAGTCCAGTTCCACCAACTATAGCTCCAGTGCGACCACCTAGTCCAGTTCAACCTTCTACAACTCCACTACTCCTGACTTATCATCATCGACCACCCCCAGCATCAGGCCCAGCTGATTCATGTCCAGCACCTGACCCTGCTAATACTGCGGACTTGTCTCCTCTTAATCAACCGATTGCACTACGAAAAGGTATACGGTCCACACTTAATCCTAATCCTCATTATGTCGATTTAAGTTACCATCGTCTCTCATCATCTCATTGTGCATTTGCGTCATCTTTGTCCTCTGTTTCCATCCCTAAGTCTACAGGTGAAGCACTGTCTCATCCCGGATGGCGACATGCTATGATTGACGAGATGTCTGCTTTACATACGAGTGGTACTTGGGAGCTTGTTCCTCTTCCTTTGGGTAAATCGACTGTTGGTTGTCGTTGGGTGTATGCAGTCAAAGTTGGTCCATATGGCCAGGTTGATCGACTTAAGGCTCGTTTTGTTGCCAAAGGATATACTCAGATATTTGGACTCGATTACAGTGATACTTTCTCTCCTGTGGCTAAAATTGCATCAGTCCGCCTTTTTCTATCCATGACTGCTGTTCGCCATTGGCCTCTCTATCAGTTGGACATTAAGAATGCTTTTCTTCACGGTGACCTTGAGGATGAGGTTTATATGGAGCAACCACCTGGTTTTGTTGCTCAGGGGGAGTTTAGTGGCCTTGTATGTCTGTTGCGCCGGTCCCTCTATGGTCTAAAGCAGTCTCCTCGAGCCTGGTTTGGTAAGTTCATCACAGTTATTCAGGAGTTTGGCATGACTCGTAGTAAGGCTGATCACTCTGTATTTTATCGACATTTCTGCTTCAAATCTCTGTATTTATCTGGTCGTTTAGGTTGACGATATTGTTATTACCGGCAATGGTCGGGATAGTATTAGTAAGTTGAAGTAACATCTCTTTCAGCACTTTCAGACTAAGGATCTGGGCAGATTAAAGTATTTTTTGGGTATTGAGGTCGCTCAGTCTAGCTCAGGTATTGTGATCTCACAACGGAAGTATGCCTTAGATAATCTTGAGGAGACAAGAATGATGGGTTGTAGACCTGTTGACACTCCGATGGATCCGAATTCTAAACTTCTGCCAGGACAGGGGGAGCCTCTTAGCGATCCTGCAAGATATAGGCGGTTGGTTGGTAAATTAATTTACCTCACAGTGACTAGACCTGACATTTCCTTTCATGTGAGTGTTGTGAGTCAATTTATGGATTCTCCCTGTGATAGTCATTGGGATGCAGTTGTCCGCATTCTTCGGTATATAAAATTAGCTCCAGGCAAAGGCTTATTGTTTGAGGATTGAGGCCATGAGCAGATCGTTGGATACTCAGATGCTGATTGGGCAGGATCACCTTCTGATAGATGTTTTACGTCTGGATATTGTGTCTTAGTAGGATGAAATTTGGTGTCTTGGAAGAGCAATAAACATAATGTGGTTGCTCGGTCTAGTGCAGAAGCAGAATATCGAGCAATGTCTATGGCTACATGTGAGCTAATTTGGATCAAACAGTTGCTCAAGGAGTTGAAATTTTGTGAGATTAGTCAGATGGGACTTGTGTGTGATAATCAAGCTGCTCTTCATATTGCGTCAAATCCAGTGTTCCATGAGAGAACTAAAGACATCGAGATTGACTGTCACTTTGTTAGAGAAAAGATACTCTCGGGAGATATTACTACAAAATTTGTGAAGTCGAATGATCAGTTTGCTGATATTTTCACCAAGTCCCTCACTGGTCCTCGTATTAGTTATATATGTAACAAGCTCTGTATCATTATAACAGTAGTATATAATGAAAAGATACTCTCCGTACATAGTTAAATAGTAGTATATAACCCTAATCCCATATGTATTAGGAGTAGGACATGTATTATATATATAGGGCTCAGTGTATCATTATTAATTTTTTAATCAATAGATTTTTCTCCCGTGCATTCTCACACTAATACAGAGTCATCTAGTCAATCCCAACTTGTTTGGGATTGAGGTGGTGTTGGCTGATATTTGATTGTCGTATGGTAACTCTGTTGAATTTTAAATAAGTAACTGCTGCTTAATTGGGGGATTTCTCTGAAACTCTAAAATTGGGGGATTCTTAAGAACAAAAAAAGCTAAATTGGGGAATTTTGTTGATTGTTTCATGCTCTTCCTGTAGTTAAGCATGATATGTACATCACCTGATAGGCTACCTTTTTTTCCTAGCACTGTAATTTTAATTTTCTGTATCACGTGTTCATGTGTGAAGGCACCAAAAATCCAACGGGTGCATGGAGGCAAATCAACTAGATCACCTGGTGGTATCCCTCAACAGGCACCAAGCAGTCAGTGGGATAGCATCATCAAATTTCTGGATTCTTTCTTGAGTCGCTTACGCGGAAATCATGTATGCATATTGTTCTCATCGTCTCATTTAGCTGTATTTTTTCTCACTCTTAATTTGAGGTTGCAGTATTGCGTCCATGAAGAATTTCTTTGATGCAATTTTCATATGTCATGTTTGTAGTTGCATTTTAATGTTGCAAAGTCCTTACAATTGCTATTCCATTTATGTTTACCGTTACTAGACTTAGAATAAACAGCTTATCCTTATTTCTATTGCAACAACTGTTTTTTATTCCCTCTATTTCAAGCGGAACGTGTTGTTTGACTCTTGTTTTTAAAACAACATTTTTGGTTATGAATAGTGATAAAGGAGGGATAGCCTAGTGGAAAGGGTCCTCAACCTCAACCATGAAGTTGGTGATTCGAGTTACCAAGGAAGCAAAGTGGGCTTTTCAGTTGCAATGCGTGAGTTCTCTTTTGTGTGGACACAGAAGTTAAGATGAGAGTTGAGTTTCGTTCTTAATAGAAGTCATCCAGAACCTAGATTGTTTTCTTTTTTGTGGTTGGGACAATTACTCTACCACAGCCTGGTCTTTCTGAATGATGGTTAAAATATTGAAGAGTGCAAGGGAAAGTTGCCCTGTAAATAATTTAAAACTAGAACAGTCTATTTGTAGGTCAAATAGAGTATATATTTTTGGGAAATGCTGTTTTGGCACTGCCAGATGGATAACATGCCATTCAATTTAAAAATGGGTTAGTAGGGATTATGCAACGCAGTGCAATTTAAAAATATATATTATGCTTTGCAAATCACGTGCTACACAATTGGACCTTTGTAAAGGGGAGAAGATGACGCAGGGCTGGGCATGAGATGTAGCCTCACTAGCTCTCATTTGGGTTCTTTGGGAGATGAATATGATAGCTTTGGAAGTAGTGGAATATAATTTTGTATATATGTGGAATAACCTCCAAAATTTTATTAGTTTTGGTGCATCCATGAGTGTTCCTGTTTATATGGATCATTGGTTTTTCCCATAGAGAACCACATTTTTGTGTAGGCTCTATACTCGTTTTATACTGCTTGTATATGAGACTTTGTCCCAAATCAATAAATTTGTTACTTCATCCCAAAAAAAATTATGCTGTGCACAAAATGTAACTGGTGAGATTTGCAGAAGTTCACAACCAACAATGAGGATATGCATAAGTTCCTTTTTGTTTGTTTTTTCCCTCGGATATGGTAAATCTATCCCCAAAACCTCTACCCAAAGGAGGCCATTTTCCACTTTGCTTTCTTGGTGTTGGAGGGGGGTCTTTTTCACTATGCTATTCCTCCCTTCTTATGAGGATATGCATGGGTTCGCAACAGGATGGCTAGTTTGTTGGCTAGATACAGTTATTGGCTTTTTAAATTGGTAACCTTCCGCAACTCAATCACNTTTTAGAATATAAATATTTCTTTGGAGAACATTAAGAGGATAGTTGAAGTCTCATATAAAATACCTTTATACAAAAGCCATGTTCCCAAGTCACCAAGTATGTGTCGGATATTTGTGGTCAGGTTATTTAGTTCGCAATGTGCACATGCCTTATTTCAGCTTGCCTCTACGTCTATTTCAGTGCTCCCCGAGGATTCCTGATCACCTTAATGATATATTACACCTTGATGATTTATCAATTACTCCTTAATTTTCCTTTTCTTCTATTTTGTATAGCTCAATAACCTCCAAAGCATCCAAATGATATTCTGTTTTTTGGGTATTGCTTCAAGAAAGCTTGTATTCTGTTTTTGTGTCCCTTGCAATTACAGCATTGATAGTTAGTACACTTGCAAAAGATTAGTCTGGGGTGATAGGAGAGGGTGTCTGCTTTTTCTAACTCCTTGTTACTTCAAAACTTGCAATTTCGTTCTCTTGTCAATTTACTGTCTACAAATGGATGTATTTCCAGGTGCCTTCGTTTTTCATCCGCAAGCTGACAACCCAGGTTTTCTCCTTCATCAACATATCACTTTTTAACAGGTATCATTAACTTACAAGTATCTTCTTCTTTTAATCCTATCCTTTTTCTTTTGTGAAAATAAAGCTTATGATTGTCTTTGATTTTATGCAAGTCTTTTACTCCGACGAGAATGTTGCACCTTTTCAAATGGAGAATATGTGAAGTCCGGTTTGGCAGAATTAGAAAAATGGATAGTCAATGCAAAAGAAGAGGTATTAAGAAAGACTTTTTTTTTTCTCCTGTGCATTCTTCAATGTAGATGTTGAACTGACAAAGAAGTATGTGGATGCTGAATGTAGTTTGCAGGTACATCTTGGCATGAACTTAATTATATCAGACAAGCTGTTGGATTTCTGGTTAATGCCATACCTTGCTAAATAGCACTTTAATATCTGAACGTTTCATTCTGAGCTTTAAATTTTATTCGCCGTGGCTATCTAGGTAATTCATCAGAAGAGGAAGAAATCACTGGAAGAGATAAGACAGGACCTTTGCCCGGTAAGAGATAATAGCACAACATGTCATTGTGATGTCAGTCTTGTTTGCAGACTGAATATCCGAAGTATTTCATCTTGAACAGGCATTGACAATCAGACAAATATATCGAATTAGTACCATGTATTGGGATGACAAGTATGGAACTCAAAGTGTGTCAAATGAGGTAAGTGTTTTAGTGCATTTCTCCTGTCTTTTTGCCGGGAATGTTTTGGCTCATAGGCTTATGACTCTGTATACTCTGTAGGTTGTCGCACAGATGAGGGAGATTTTAAACAAGGATTCTCAGAATCTAACATCTAACTCATTTTTGTTGGATGATGATCTGAGGTATGGTTTACTGATATATACTGCTATTCCAGCATTTTTTTCCTTTTGAGGTATGCCTATCCTAAAACTACTAGTTAATTGTTCTCTGTCAAAGTTGGATATAAATTAGTTTACTGTTCAATTCTGATGGATATCGTCGATGATTAACAATATCTTAATCATTAGAAGTGATTTTTCTAAGTAGCAGCTTGTCCTGGTTACACAAATGCTCAATAGCATTTAGTTTAGCACACTAAATATTTAAGGATAGCATAAAGAACCAGTTCATAGATCACATCAATATTGCAAATGCCATTCGGTTTGACGTTAATCAAGCCTTCTGCTTAATGAAATATGAGTCCATAAGATGCAAGCTTCATATCAGTTGCTTGGTGTATGGAGAATTCATTTGATCATTTCCCCGTTGCCTTCTTTAATTATTTGTTGCTGCTTGCAGTATTCCGTTCTTAACAGAAGACATTTATATGGCACTTCCTGAGTTAGATCCTTCACTTATGGAGCTGCCAAAATTCCTATCTGAATATCCATCGGCATTGCTTATGATACAGCATGCAAAGTAAATTTTCTTTTGGCACATTCAGAGCTTTTCTTTCTTGCACAACTCCCAGCATTGTCCATTCGCGACATTGCACACAGTGCAACGTCACCAATTCTTGCTGGGGGAAAACTGCATCTGAAGTTGGGAACTGATTCCTGGAGATGCTGGACAAGTTGTCATCCAAAAAGAACACGCCATCAGATTGTTTACATGGCAGTCTAGGTCTAGAGTAGGATCTGTACAGGCATTAGGTGCAATTTACTCAAAAGGCTTCCTATTTTTTCGGAGTGCCGCCTCTTTTGAGCTCTGTATATCTGTCATGTTGGTTATTTCATTGTTGTATCTTCCTGCCTTTGAAGTTTTCAAGGCACTTGCCATTTTAGAGATGTAGCCATATTTCCTTTACCTCACTAACCATTTCTGTTCCCTGTACAAATGATAGGCTTGTATTTGTTGATGTACATTTACTGTGAATACCCTTATTTATTTGATATTTTGAAAAATTATCGAAATCAGTCATGTTGTAACAAATGCAACCATTCAAGTTCTCCTACATTTGTTCCACTCCTCAAGTGTAAATAGTGAGCCAAGTCTCATAGTTCGGCAAGTGTGCTCTTTCTTGAACCTGGTTCCAAGGATTGATGAGTTGCATACTTCATTATGTGATCTGTATAATTGTGCTTCAGTTATTTTGCCCTAACAGCAGCTTACTGTCTTTATTAAAATACTTCATTTTTATACTTATCCATGGGGTCAATTTTAGCTGAAAGATTTCGATAGTCTTAGTACCCATTTAGAAATGCTTTGTCAATTTAAGATAAAAAATATTGTTTGAAAGATGGGGCATTTACTTACTATTTGGTTCTCTTTTAATTTTCCTTCCCTTTCATGCGTTGGATTGGACTCAAAGTTGCTTTAATGAAAGATCTGTACCAGTATTCCCTTTACTGCAAAATCCTGTTTAGGCATTCGTCTTTCAACACAGCTTAAATAAATGATGTAACCATATCTACTTATCTAGAACAGGCGTAAGGGGCAAACGATCAACTTTTTGAAAGATTTATTGTCAACATCTTCGCAACACTGATATTCTAAAAATAATCTGATCTCATTTTATGTGATGCTTTTAGTCTACAACTTAACGACTCAATACTGAAAATAATCTGATAAAAAAATATTGTTTGAAAGATGGGGCATTTACTTACTCTAGAGTTTTTGGCCATTTTTGTTTGAAAGAGACTAAATATGCTTAGGGTTATATTTGAGGGACCAAAATAAACCTACCCTCAAAGATAAAGATAAGGGACAATATTGGTCGAAAACTCACTTACTCTACAACTTAACGACTGAATACTGATTATTTTCAATTTCTTGTTAGTTGTAAAAACGTATGGTTTTTAGTCTTCTATTTAGTTTGTTATTATGTAAATTCATAAAAGTTTAAAGAATTATTTAAAGTCACGCTGGAATCTGAAAATCAAAATATTCAAACTTTTTACACTTCCTAAGCTGCAGTGGAATATCCTATTTTGGTAGGACAAAATAATGTCCTTTAATAGTGACATTTAAAGTCTTTTGCTTTAATAGTGACAAAATAATGTCCTATTTTAATCTTTTGCTTCAAGCTAAAAAATTGGTTTTTCCTATCTCCACATCACTCGGTGCCAGCTCCATTAGCAGGGAAAACAGTGGGCATAAGTTAAACTGTTGGCTTTGGGGATGTTGTCACTTTAAATGTGGGGGTCCTTTGTCCAATAAAGCAATATGGGCTCTATATAAGATAAAAACTTGTTAAAAGTTGGGAGTGGAGGAGATAAAAAGAAGCAAAGTTAAATCAACTATTGGATAAGCCTATAAGCTCCTCAGACTGGTTTATAAGTATTTTTTGGTTTATCTACGCGTTTGGTAAAATTAAAAGTGCTTATAAGCCAAAAGTCATAAGTTGGTCTCCTCCAACTTATCAAATTTCAGCTTATAAACACTTTAGATTTGACCAAAATATTTATTATTCTATCTCTAAAATACTTCTTTTTAAAACAAAACTCTTCGTATACCCAGTTCTTCAGCTGCTTATTATTAATTTCAGCACTTTTATCCAAACACGTAACTGCTTATTTTTTAAATTAACTACAACACTTAAAAATGCTTTTCAACACTTAATGCTTATCAACTACTCTAAATCAGCTAAGCCGAACGGGCTCTATATCCATTAAAGCATTGTTGTTGCTATAGGCATGACTATTAAACAGGCCACCAGTAATTTCACCTCATAAAATGTTAATCTAAAGGAATTCATACCCTCATTTCTCATGTTACATCCCAAATTGCTCATTCGTTCATACATCCAAAGGGTCATATATACCAGTGAACTATGCGAATTAGGACAAATATGCCTGCCGTTAATAGTTTGGCACATATATGTCTAATCCGTCCAATACTTGCTCATTCATACCCTTAGTTTAACAGAATCACTATTTTGTCATTTTTAAATAATTAATAATCGGATCCAACCAAAATCTGTTGACCCGCCCTTATTTCAAAAATATTTTTTGATATATTATTTTTGTTTGATTGAGAAATTGTGTGATAATCATATTTATTTATTCGAGTAATTTGATAATAAGTTTTTTTTCTGTTATACATCATTTCGGGAAGTAATCCTACTAAAAGTAGCAAGTGATATTTATTTATTATTTTACTAACATAATATTCGATTAATTTGTGCTTTCTTCAATCATTTTACCATCTATTTTTATTTTTCTCGGTGGTGCTTGTTATGAAATAATATTATTTATAAAATAATTAATTAATAAAAATGAAAAAGAAGTACCACTATTTTAACAGAGGTGCTTACTATGAAATAATATTTGTTATGAAATAATTAATTAATAAAAATGGAAAAGAAGCACCACTGTTTTAACAATTTATTACTTATTTCATAACAAATTTGTAATGCAGAAAATAATCCAATAAAATAATAATCAATCATATAATGATCACTTATCTAAACAAAAAAAATGGATCCATCGGGTTAAGTTATAGTGAACATGGAGTTATTTATATTTGTATTGGTGAAAAATAACAAATAGATTGTGAGAAAAATAAAAATAGATGGTAAAATGATCGAAGAAAGCACAAACTAGTTCGAATATTATATTATTTAAATAATAAATAAATATTACTACTTTTAGTAAGATTACTTCCCGAAATGATGTATAACAAAAATAAATTGATTATCAATTATTCAAATAAATAAATATGATTATCACACAATTTCTCAATCAAACAAAAATAATATATCAAAAAATATTTTTGAAATAAGAGTGGGTCGGGTCCTAATAGATCGGTTTAGCAAATTTGGGTTTGGGTCAAGTTATTCATTACTAAAGAAAGACAAAATAGTGGTTCCGTTAAACTAAGGGCATGAATGAGCAAGTATTAAACGGATTGGATATCTGTACCAAATTATTAATGGCGGGCATATCTGTACTAATTCGCATAGTTCACTGACATATATGGCCCTTTTCCGTTCACTCAATCTGGCATCTCCCGACGTTAAGTGACTAATGATATTTGAGTTGGAGCGATAAGTCAGTATATCTACTATACGTTCATTAATTAAAATATGTGGATGGTTAACTAATTAACATGTTGCAGGATTAAGCTCGCTAAACCTAATTAAAAAAAGGATGTTATCCAAACGCATTTGAATCTGGAGGCTTCTATAAGACTTGCTAGCTTAAAGGACAAGAATTCTTGAACCCTCTTGCTAAATAAACTGAACAAGAAATTCTGTTTATACTATAATTTCTATGGAAATTCTTGGACAAGAAATTATTCCATATTAGCTTCTAATGTAGGACTTGTTGTAACAGAAACAACCTCACATTGCTGCAAATCAGCCAAGGAGAATGATCTCCAACCCGAGAAATTCCCACGAGCTAATGGCGATAAACAAGGAGAATTCAATCCATTACAATGGTTGTGATTGTTGTACTCTTTGAAATGAGGATTAAGGCGCGACACGAAAGGAACAGATGAGATTGTTGTGTTTTCACTAATGCTGCTAAGTACTGAACCTGATGATGAGCAACAATTCATAGCTGCTGCTAATGCTAATGTGGTTCTACTTGAATTTGTTACTCTTTTTGAGATTCCACCTCTGTTTTTGTTAGTATCCCAAGCTAAACCACAAGCCAATAGGTTTCTTCTTTTTCTAATATATGCATTTTCTGGCTTTGCTAAATCTTTTGTTGAGGATGTAGTTGAAGCTTCTCTTAAACTTGTGAATGATTTTGACTTTCCATTATAGAACCTTGAGATACCTTTTCTGCAAAAAATCACACATATGTTAATTGGAAATCTAGAGATAATATTTTTTCCTTATAAGAACCTACCAAAAGAGATGAAAATTAACATTTTTGGTAAAAATAGTAGCTCATTGAAATCCAGATCTATAACAAATTAGAGCACGACAAGAGGGCAGTGTGTGTATGCGGACGTTACACCTACCCGATATGGAGGCGGTTTCCGATAGACCTCGTCCCAAGAAGATTCAAAAAAAAATTGGAGCACATAAAGAAAAATTAATTTTCTAGGCATAGATTCCTACTAGAAAGGGTAAATCATGAGAATCATTTTGATAAAGCCTGGAACAATTTTTTTTTAAATTAAAAAACTGATTCTTGATTTCTCTCAAGTGTTGGAAGATTCTCACTTTCTCAAGAAATTGAAAATTCAAAAGGACAAAAAAATAGGAGACTATAATATTGGTGAATATGCTAAAGAATCTGGATTTCTTAAATAGTATAGTTGAATTCCAGCTAATTAGCAACCCCACTATGTTCTTAATATAAAAAATGATTAATAAACTAAGGAAAAACTTGGCTTTATCAATCAAATCAAAAGCTTTGATCTCTCCCAAAACAACACAGATAAACTAGAAGAAACCATTAAAAAAAGACAGAACATTAAAAGTTTGAAAAAAAGAAGAAGAGGAAAATCCTCGAAAAATTTAAAAGAAAAACTTCATCGGTTGCTGGATGATGAAGAATGCAATTTATTTATTTTTTCTTTGAGTGAAAAAGAATCAATTGTTTTCATCTAAAAAATAAGAAAAAACATGGACAAAATAAAAATAAAAAAAAAACAGATAAAAAGCTGTAAAAATTACCTCATTGGTAAAACTTCCTCTAGAGTTTCCATAGAATTCAAAGGACTTTTATAAGAACTCTGAACTTCCTCAGAATCATCTGTTTTTTCCATTGATCCTTCTGAAATATCACTATTTTTTCCAATAGAAGATGAAGAACTACATGAATTCAATGACTTTTCTTCATTAATTTTCTCTTCATAAAAAACCATCTTTATATTATTACCACAAAAAGAATTCTGATCTCCTTTAAATTTCTCATTTGGATTAACACAAACAGATGCTAATGCATGCATAAATCCAGATGAACCTTCAACTTCTCTTTTCTTCATTATCATACTCACAGACATTTCTTTTTTAATTTTCCTCAGCTTCAGATCACATAAAAAAAGAATTGTATAAGCCAAATATTGAATTAAGAAATATTGGAAACTATAAAAATGGGATTTTAAAGAAAAGGTTGGTGAAAGAAAGGCAAAATTTTAACATGAAAAAGCTTAGATCTTTGGGACAAGAAGGAGAAGAAGAGCAGAATAGAGGACACATATCTTGTTTATATAATATTGAGATGATAAGTTATCATTGGAAAAAAGAAAAAAGAAAAAACTTTGTTTAGAAAATAATTAAGAAACCTTAAAGATAAGTAAATAGAATAATGGGGCTAATGGGGTATATATATATATAAAAAATGAGTCTAAGTCTGATGTGTAAAGATATATTTATACAATCAGATCAATATTTTATAATTTTATATAATTTTTTAGATATTAATTTATAATCTCAGAAAAATGATAACTGCCCTAATATTATAAATTAATTTTTTTTAATAAGTATAAAAAAAACTACATTGTCAATGTTTATGAAATTCAGAAATAAATAGATAGTAAATGAAGAAAAAAGAAGGGGTAGGTCTTATCCTGAATCCTAATCCACTGATTGTCCTTGTTAGAAAAAAGAAATTTTAATTTTAAAAAAAGAGTACAAATTGAATAAATATTCAAATCACAAATAAAAGATAAGCCATTGGCAATGTCATTATGAGATGTAAATCCATTGGTTTGCGTTAAATAGTATAAATCCAAGAAAGGATATGGTTTACTATGCATCTAGTCAGCTTTACAGCTATTATTGTTAAGGATAAACCTGATCCGTATCAATCTTGTTGAGATGCTATATTTCAATAAATAAAAATCATTACCACCAAAATTAGAGTTTGACTTCGGGTGCAAGAAATATTTATGCAACAAAGTTGCTTAAAAAGTAATTACAAGGGAACTTATTTAATAAATATTAATTAATATCTCAGAACAAATAGTAGTAAGTAATTATGATATAACACATTAAGGACTTATTTGGTATGACAGATAATGGATAATTAATCCCGATATTAAATTTGAGATGAGTTTATCCCATGTTTGGTTGGGATAAAATCGTGGTATAACTAATCCCGAGATTAGTTATCCCGTGATTATAATTGTTTACCCTTAAAATTGGATAACAATAAACTTATAATTTGATTTTAAGGACACATATTTCACCTAATATCAATTGATAAATGTAAAGATTAGTAATAGAAATTAACAATAAGATAAAACAAACCGATGTTTGAACGGAATTCAACCCTCGAGCTTGAATGCCCTCGAATTGGTTGGTGCAAGAACATTTAAAAATATAACAAGCTGATGAACAAGAATATGAACTAAAGATAAGGCGTTATATTGCTTTTATGTCTTAGAATGTAAGATGCTTACAAAATGATTAGAACCCTCTTTATATAGTATGTGAATCCTATCTATGATATAATTCTAATTACGGAAGTAAATCCCATGATTAACCTAAACAACCGCCTTTGATTTGATCTGTTCCGAGATTTTCTCCATGATCTTCGGCCAGTCACGGATATCTCACTTTTCTGTTATTGCGCTTTGCTCGAAGTTTGCCCTATTAAGTCTCGATCGCTACTGGCCTCGATCTCGATAGGCACCTCAATTCTTGAACTCGATATCCTGTCCTCGTGCTTCGGTCTGATCCACTACGGGGCCGGCCTTCGATGCAACTCTCTGATCTCGATCAAATAGTAGAATCGGGTAGGCCCAATTTTAACAGTATACATACAGTCCCCTCGTTTCTTGGAATGTAATGAGAAGAAACGAATTGACCCTTCAATTTTGTACTTCGACCTGTCATGACGTCATTCTCGTGACGTAAGCGGCGGAAATGACTGAAATGTCCCATCAGTACAGTTCCCCAAGTCATTAATGAGCGTCAGTTAGTGGTCGGCCACTAGTGCCATTGAACCGTCGTCGTGGATCCCTTAAATAGGCCCTCTCTCTCATTGATTCAATCTTTACTTTCACTTTCTTCTAATCTCTTAAGCTTTTATGCCTCTTAAGTCTCTCCTTTCTTCAGAATTTCCAGGGTTTGATGTTAATCCCCTCTCAAACACCAAGTCCTGTCGTTTCCTTCTCTCTTCAAACTCACATAAAAATGGCAAAAACATCAAAAACCATTCTTCAAAAGGAAAAAGCTTCTTCATCGCGATCGGCTGACGATAAAACACCGGTGGCACCGTGCCTTGATGAGTGCGTTCCCGGGGGGTGTGTCCTTACTTCCGACTTTAAGGTCGAGAAAACTTTGTCGGTCCCTAGTCGATGCGAGTCAATGTCGAGATATATATGCTCGATAACTGAGAGCGACCTTAAGCAGGTAAAGGAAGACTGCCGTTGGGAAGACATAGAGGTGGTGATTCTGGCCCCAGAAGAAGACATCACTACTCATGTGGAAGGGTTTCTAAGTGTTTACACTTACTCTTTCACGCTGGGTCCTCTCGATCCCGTCATCGTTGATTTTTGCTGTCAATATCAAATAACCTTAGGTCAAATCCATTCCTCTTTTTACGAATTGTTATTCTGCTCCGATTCTTTTCGAGCAAAGTCGAGGGGATGTCTTTCACCCTCGACTATCTCATCAGGTTGTACATCCCCCGACACTATTGAGGAAGGTTAATAAGGCTTCAGCGTAGGGCTACCAAGGTGTTGTTCTCGAGCATAGATGAGGATAAGGATCGAGTATGGATGGGCCGATTCGTTCGAGTGAAGACTTCCGACCTAATCCCGACCGAGAAGATGCCATTTCCCGAGAAATAGAATATGAAACATAAGTACAATCCCACCTATAGCTTCCATTTATTGTTTTGTTTCCTTTGCTTCTTCTTATCGACAGCCCTTTCTACGATGTAGCGTTCTCTTGGATGCCCGGTGCAATTCTTAACCTCGAGAATTGGGTTCGGGACCTAACTTTGACCTCTTCGTACGCTGAGCGCTCATGGCGTGATTTGGCAAGGGGCCGATGGGAGGTCAAAAATCATGGTAAGCCCCTTTTCGCGTATTTAATGATTTTCGCTTAAATGTTTCTTTTCATACTCACTTGATTTCCTTTCATACAGACCTCAGAAAAGATGTTGTCATGAGGCCCCATCCGTGGAGGAGGAGGTTCCGAAACCGGCGAAGGATAAAAAGAGAAAAAGGGTCTCGACCTCCGAGGATCCAAAGCCCAAGAAAAGTAAGGCTTGTAAGCCGAAGACAGATACCGTCCCTCTACCTGTTGATGTAGCTCAGGGACTAAGAGAGGAAGAAGAAGAAGATGAAGACGATGGATCTGAACTGGTTGCCCGAGTGAAGAAAAACATTGAGGCCTCAAAGGCCGCTGAGTCGGTAAGGGTTGAAGAGATTCAGCCTCGAACCGAGGAGGTCCCGGAAGAAGGCCCGAGAAAAGTCCCCGAGTCATCGGAGACTGTAGATGCCTCTCGCCGAAATGAGCAATCGGTGGGTATGCCTGAAGGGGCCAGCTCTGAGGCCCTTCGAAATGAAGAGAACGCCCCAAGTGACTCGCTTGGGCAATAGAAATTGGCGATTCGCCGACCCTTCCTACATTTTTTGAGGGGGCAATTTAAGAAGCCCAGGCCATGGGGACCCCTATGTGGAAGGAGCCCACGGAGGGGAGGACCTCCTCCGTGGGTGTTTTACCGGGGTCGAAGATGCTGCCGACATGATTGAAGCATCAAGTCTCTTCGATGAGGCTCAATGAATCCTGAGTTGGGTAAGTCTCAACTCCCCTCATCGATATCACACTTATATTTACTTCTTCTTGTCTAATTTCCTTTCTTCTTTCTGCATAGGCCTTGACACTCTATCGTGATGCATTTCTCGAGCAGATCTAAGCCGATGCGGGGCCGATTTTCAAAGGCTCACGGAGGAGAGAAATGCCCTCAAACTTCTTAGCATGCAAAAAGAAGAGGAGATCAAGGACCTCCGAGCTGCATTGGCCACGACTTAGAAAGAGTAGACCGAACTGATTGAGCAGGTAATGAAAATCTTAGAATCTCAATGTATCAGTCCGGGGACGATGACTAATACTTTGATCTTACAGGTTTAGAAGAAGGCTGAAAAGATCGAACAGCTCCGTGAGGAGGTTAACATGATAAGGGCGGAGACCTTGGGGTGGAAACAAAACATGGACCGCCTTGCCTCGGAGAAAGAAGCTACTCGAGCCCAACTATCATCGGCCAAAAATCAGCTTCAAGGCATGAAGGAGGAAAGCTCAGCTCAAGCCAAGAAAATAGAGGATCTCGAGGCTCGGTTAGCCACTGAACTTGTAAAAGTTAAATCTGAGGCAGAAAAAGTAAAGGCTGACGTGGTGGCGATCATGGCCGTTTACCGATCTGATGCTGAAGTTGCTCAAGACCAAGCAAGAGAATCTGCCGAGGCCGCTCAAAATCGAGCTTTTTGGATTGCCGAGCATGTCAAGTTCCAGTCTCGAAGAGAGACTCTTGAGGAGATTCATGATCGTAGCTTTAACCTTGTTGCCGAGATCGAGAATGCGAAAGAGCTTGAGGCTGAATCCAAAGCATTGCTCTCTTATGATGATAATGATTCTGGGAGCGTGAGTGGATCCGAGAGCGGAGGAGATCTCGATGGCGAAGATGTAGCTCATGAGGAAAATTAGGCAGTTAGGATTTTTCTTTTTTGAATTTTTGCGTAGGATCCTGATCAGTCATTGTAAATATTTTCATATATAAAAGACCTATTTTCTCTTGGACTTGGCTTTATTTCAATTTTTGCCTCGTGCAAATTCTGTTTCGTCCACATCTTGAAAACTTTCTTAAGTACGAGGTTTGGGATATTTGATCGAAGTCAGACTAGTGTAGTCTTTATAATCGAGCGAGTACTTGCTCGAACTCGAAGTAGGATGACCCTTAGGTTTTAGTTGAGAGAGGATGACTTCTCGAACTCAAAAAATGGAATGGCCCTTAGGTTCTTGAATTAGGCCGATATGGCCTCAAAAGAATGACTCTTTTCCCTTTTCGGCTTAAAAATTTGATCATATTAAAATTTGTTATGCCTTAGCATGAAATAAGGTTGTTCGAGAGTTCGAACAATCTGGTACCTCTTAGGGTTTTCGAGGGTTGATGTTATCAGAATCCTTTATAATTTTGCCGAGGGTTGCCTTTTTAACCAGTTTTGTGAAGATATTAGAAGGCCTGTTTCATTACGGAATTCGGACATCTCCGAACCGTGGTAGTCTTGGTGGTAGCCTTTAATTTGGGATTTGCCTCT